ATATATATATATATATATATATATATATATATATATATATATATACATACATACATACATTCATACATACATACACATACACACACACATATAAACTGTGGAATGAACATCATTTGAATGTATACATCCTGTGCTTTTAAAGTAAATGCATTTTCACATTCAGTATAAAATAATTTGTTGTGTTGAAATTCATTCCATTTGAAGTACACCCACATATACTAAAAGGATTCAAAGCAGCATTTCTGAGACTCCTTAACATTGAACTGAAAACATCCCCATCATGCAAGAAGCAAGAGAATTAAGTTCAGAATGGGTACAAAAGAGATTTAAATAATTTTATTCCAAATGATGCCCACAAAAACAACATGCATGTGTATAAAATTACACCAAACAATTTGTATTTAGATGCAAACATCAGATCAGATACATACCTGGGTCATTTGTGACAGAACCTTTGCCGTTTTTCACATCCACAACCCAAGTCGCCTCTCTCCCGTTGGGCCCATCCTTCACTTTAAAGGCAAACACTCCACCAACCTTCTCGATGAGCTGCTCTCCTTCCTGTAAGAAATCCACAGGATTTCTGAACTCTGAGAAAGCTGTTTGACATGCAGTGGGCATATACAGACATTTACTGCTGGAACACTGCTAATTAACTCATCATCTGTTGCAAGAAATAGAGCTGAAGTTAAATGAGAATCACATCGGCCTCATGGTACTGCACAGCTAATTCTCTGAAACCTTGTACTAATATCAGACTGAAAGAGAAGACGCTTCATTCAGGGGCTTACAGTCATGGGAAAAAGAATGTTAAATGGACTGCACTTATCGAGCACCTTTCTATCTTATCGAGGTACTCAGCGCTTTACAATCTGTGTCCTCATTTACCCATTCATACAGCACTCTACTAGAGCTATACAAAGACTAATCAGTTGTTTAGGTCACTACACTAATGGGACACACATCGGAGGCAATGAAGGGTTCAGTGTCTTGCCAGGGACACAACAGCATGTGACTGCTCTCTTGTAAATGAGTCTTTGTGACTTAATGAGACTAACATGTATAAATAGAAGTTGAATGAACGGTGGAACTGAACCCCCAACACTCCCTTTGGTGGATGAGTGCTCTAATCACTCAGCTACAGCTGCCCCTCATGGTCGGGCTGCTGCTGCTGTTATGCCATATTGTTTTACACTATTAGTGTTTAGCGTATATCTTAGATCCTTATTTACTGTTTAATTTTGTACTTTGTGTTTTGCTATTTTTGGGTGTAACTGGGACCCTGTGCGTATAATTTTGTTCCATCTCATGTAGCACATGTGGAATAGACAGTAAAGTTGACTTGAACTTGAACTTGAAAAAGAAGTTCACAAACCATGAAAATGATTTGCTTTTTAACAGTATCTAATTTTTTTTATACCTTAGCACAAGTAAAAAAAACCACACACATCAGATTCCAACATTGACTACACAAAAATGAAGTCAAAATAAAAATAAATAAGTGTTTGAAACCTACTTCCACTACCTTGAACTGCATAACTTTTAGTATTTTTTTTTTTTTTTCTGTCTGATGCTATTACAGTAGTCTATCCAATTGTTGTGGAGGAATTTTGGCTCAATATTTCTTACATTGCTTCAGTTCAAGCAGGTTTGCTGACTTTTTTTTTTTTCTGCTCATCTCTTTTAAGGTCCAACCACAGCAGTTCAGTCAGGTTGAGGTTCTCCACTTCAACTGGGCCACTGCAGGACCTTGATCCTTTTCTTTTTTAGTTGTTCTGCTGTAGGCTAGCTGCTGGGTTTGGGATCATTGTTGTGTTACATCATGACCCAGTTTGGTCCAAGCTTCAGCTGTCAGACAGATGGTCTACAGTGGAGTTCATGGTCGACTCAATGACTGAAAGTAGTCCAAACCATCCTCTACCACTGTGCTGACGTTGGTATGACGTATGTGTGTTGATATGCTGGGTTTGGTTTATATCAAAACTCCTAATTGATCAGAAATGATATTCAACCCTTTCCAGATTGATGGGCAAAAACAGTTGTATCTCTTAAGTCTCAAAAAGTCTACCTGGATTATTGAGCATGCATCAGGATATCTCTTAAGTCAACGATGATGTCTTTCCTGCTTGGCATTGTGTTAATACACACCTGTATGCTCCAGAGCAGCAAACTGACAAAACTGCTACTACTACAGCTGCTCACACTGATGATGAAGATCTGTTACACTCCTGCTGTCCTTGGGTCAGAATGACCCCTGATGCCTCAGTTGTAAAACTTAACAATAATAAAAATGATAATAATAATATTTAATTAAGCAGAACATTTGAGATCACAGATCTCTTTTGCATGGGATGTCAGGGCCTGAAGACAGTCTACACATGCATGTTTTGGGCTATGAAAGGAAACCAGAGTACCCAGAGAAAACCCACACAAACACGAGGAGAGCATGCAAACTCCACACAGACAAGACCTCAGGTCCAAACCAGGGATTGAACCCAGGAACATTTTGCTGTGAGGCAATAGTGCAAACCACTAAACCATCATGCTCACCTAAAAAAAACTGTGGTTCATTCTGTCCCAAGTATAGCAGGAGGGTCAATCAATGTAGTTTTTTATGCAGTTTTTTTTTCCAATATGTCTCATCAGTTTACAGCATGTGTAAATTATGCTTGAACTTGCCCTTAACTGCTGTTACATTTCAACCCACTGTGCTCGTTCACCTCATTTGTATCGATTTGTTTGCATTTCAGTTCTGCATCTCCTGGATGTAGTCAAGTTTACAACTATATAAGCTTCGTATTCTTCCCCTTCATTACAGCAACTTACTGAATAACCACCCACACACGGGCTCATTTCTAAACTCAGAATTTTCTAAATGACCCCAATCACTCTGAACAAGCTCTTGAGAAATGCAATCAGGACGTTTCAGTTATTACTTTCTGACATAAGAGTGGGATAACAAGTGTAGGAGAGATTATACTTCAAATCAGGGGAACATTCTTATTCTTTGTGATACAAGCACATATCCTGAACAGGGGTCGATATAAGCGGTTTCCTGTTGTCCGAGACAAAACATTTTGTTCTCAGACAACCAGAATTTGCCTTGAGGTTGTTCGGTGGACAGCCAAGTGAAATAGTTTAAAGTTTTCAGTTGCCGCAACAGATTTCTATCATCAGTGAAAAAGGAGGGGGGGGGGGGGTCTTTTTAAGGCCATCCAATCTACAGTAAATAAGATGCAGGGATTAAACTGGTGCTGTGTTCAAGAAATAAAGAGAACCAGAGCCACAGTTTTACCTAATCAGAACAGAGCATGGTGAGTCAAGCTGTCTGATGGTACTGCCTCTCATGTTGGTAACACCCGAAGTTTATACACAAGCAAAATGTAGTGTGTAAAATGTACAAAATGGTGTTTTATTTTAAATTAGTGTACGCGGCTTATATTTGTGTGCACTCTATAGATTGGCAATTATAGTATGCTTGTTCATCTTTACACAACATAAGTACTGTATCAACAAACTGGGCATGGTCTGGTTTCAAGCTTTGCATTTTTTTTATTTTTTTTTGTTGTCATGTTATCAAAACCTCTACTTATTTTTTATCGTCCCATTCTTGTGGTTTAATTTGTTTTAAGAGATGACTGGGATTTCTTGCAGTCATAGATAACACAGAGAAGTGTCTCCCCTCTTTCCTCTAAATGAAGCTGTCGGCCAACCCAGCTGTGTGGAATGGCCGGCAGGTGAACCCCCCACTTTGTAGAACGATGAGTAAAATTGTTTCAAGTAGTAAAACCCACAGACAGCCAAGGCTTGTTTGTTAGAGAAGCGACACCAGACAGTATTTTTAAGGTAAACCTGTTTTGAAATAAAATTTTGCAGCGAGCTGCGAGAGTTAACATGTGAACCAGTGAATAAACAACTAATCAACTCACCAGCATCAGCTTATCAGCCTCTATATTTTACTTTACAACAAGCAGAGCAACAAAAAATAAGTCATATTTGCACATAAAGCACATCTACTTCAGTAGACCTAAATTTAGCCAGTGTTTATTCTAGTTTTTTTTAGGTCTTCCACCTATGTGTGCAGGACTAAACAACACCCATATCTTTAAAAAATAGTCAGCTGTATCTCTGGTGTTTAACTAATACATATTTTAAATTTATGGTAATCTCAAAATGTGAATAAATTAGGATTTCAACCTGGATCTTCAAAATACCAGCAGATAATAAAAAAATAAACAGTTGTCATGAGTGCATGAACATTCTGACACAGGATTTAAACAAAATTATTGTCAAAGCATTCAGTTGTGTTTTTTTTTTTTTTTCACTGTACATGCATGTACTTTTGCATCGAAACTACAAGAAGTATGAATAAAAATTATATTAGACACTTATTTTGGACATACCAAAAGAGGTCCCAGAAGATGGTCACATTCAGGGACATTAGAAAATTTCTTATTTTTTTTATTTAAAAAAAATCTGAACTGTACTGAAAGGTCAGTCAGAAGCCCAAAAATTAATAAAGCTGATGGAACATACAAATATATATTACAATAATATGCTAAACAACAGGTTTATATGTGAGAAAGAAATTAATGAGCCGTTTTTACCTGCTGCAGATGTTTTTCAATCTCTTTGAAGATGGAGTAAGATTTAAACCCTTCCAGACTGCTACTTGAGCTGCAAGTGGCTGCAACTATGGACCTGTGGAACAGAAATAACAATAATAATAAAATAATTCAACAAACAGAAACTGGAATATGCATGCTGTGCCTTATGTTATGTGCACTTGAGGTGAGACCATTGAGGAGAAGAAATAATTATATCTTGTGGGAAGTTAAAAAAAAGTACTGAACTTCTTGGGTATTTCTTCTTGAAACTTATTGTGCAATTCAGAGAAGTGCTCTTAGAAAAACATTTCTAAATGAAAGTGCTTCCAAGAGAGCTGAGCTGAAGATTTGACGTCAGCAAACTGCAAAACATTCATTGGTCAGAGAGCAACATCAATCATGAGTGTCTCCTTCACAAGAATCAAACCCGTTATACATAGTATATTCAAAATATATACGTTTGTAATACAGTAGTGCCACGCTACATCGCGGTTCGTTAATCGTGGTTTTCCAAAATAAGACTGGACATGACACACAACTGGCTGATTGATGGATGAGCCGCAAAATCGGCATGGAATTTTTTATTTAAAATAAATAACTTTCAAATATTTAGCACCTGCTGCACTTTTGTGCAGCCCACACTGCAGGATAAACTCAATGCTGCAGCTGATCAGCTGTTCTCCGTGCAGAGCCGAGAAGTGGGCGTGGCCAAGAGCGCTTGAAGGTGGCAAAGGAAGCAGGGAGCTGAAATCATGACATTCTGTGTTGTTTTAGAGCGTTTAGAGTTTAGAAACACTGTTTAGAACATTGCAAGAATGTGTGAAGGGTTTAAAACACGTTAATA